TTTTTGAGACAGAGTCTTACTCTGTTGCTTAGGCTAGAGTGCAGTCACGCGATGATCTCAGTTCACCGCAACCTCCGCCTCCCAGGTTCAAGCGATCCTCCCTCCTCAGCCTCCCAAGTAGCTGGGAGTACAGGCACACGCCACCATGCCCGGCTAATTGTATTTTTAGTAGAGATGGGGTTTTAGCATGTTGGCCAGGCTGGTCTTGAACTTGAATCCAGGCAGAGCCCTTCAGATTCCAAGACCCCAGGCTGGTCTCGAACTCCCAACCTCAGGCTGCCTTGGCCTCCCAAAGTGCTGGGATTATGGGCGTGAGCCACTGTGCCCGGCCAGGTTTCCCATCTTTTCACTTTGAGAGTTGATAGTTCTCTGTGGGGGCTGGTCAGCAAAGGAGAAGGGTGTGGGCAGCACAGCAAAGGAGAAAGGGCTGGAGCTTTGGGTTTGCCAGATCTCAGGCTCAAATTCCAGTTTTGTCATTAGTTGTCTGGCCTTCAGGAAGTTACCTCACTTCTTTGAGTCTCAGTTGTCCTGTTTGTAAAGTGGGGAGAATAACAGATCTGTTGGCAATAGTGGGTGCATTCATTGGCTGGGAGTTCTTACTCTATTGTGCCAGCCAAAGCTGGCCCTGTTTCACACTCCCCTGTACCCCAAAAACATGACCTACTTGGGGCTTTGCCAACAGAGACCTATGGGATTGTGGCCCAGGCTCACGCTCATGAAGGTTCCATCTTCGCCTTGTGTCTTCGGCGGGACGGTACAGTGCTGAGTGGTGGCGGGCGGGACCGCCGGCTGGTACAATGGGGGCCCGGGTTGGTGGCCCTCCAGGAAGCTGAGGTGAGGGCTGGGCTGGGGTCAAGGGAGTGAGGGGTAAGAGCAATGGTCAGTGGGCTCTTGACATCCTGCCATCACTGCAGATTCCTGAACACTTTGGGGCCGTGCGAGCCATTGCTGAAGGGCCTGGCTCTGAGCTGCTGGTGGGAACCACGAAGAATGCGTTGCTGAGGGGAGATCTGGCCCAGGGCTTCTCCCCTGTAATCCAGGTTGGGGGTTAAGGGCTCAGGGAAGGAGGGGGCAAAGGGGTGTGAGAGAGGGGCAGGAGTGACAGTCATGCTTTGCTGCAGGGCCACACTGATGAGCTCTGGGGGCTCTGCACACACCCCTCCCAGAACCGCTTCCTCACCTGTGGCCATGACCGGCAGCTCTGCCTGTGGGATGGGGAGAGCCACGCGCTTGCCTGGAGCCTCGACCTCAAGGTAGAGCCCTATGTCCCTGGATCCCCCATACCACCCCTAACAGGACTCCCGTGGCCGGCACTCCTTCCCCAGCACCTTCCTCCTGCCTTCCAGAGGCAGCTAGTTTGTACTGGTAGGGCTGCACTGGCTACTCAAATATTAATTCTTCTGTACTGATTGGTAAAAGCTGATGCTTCTAATACCGCCTGGGCACTCCCCGCCACCCCCAGAGCCCCTCAGACTTCCTCTTGGTCCAGCACCTAAATGGTTAATCTCCAGCACAGCTGTTGGTCTCAGTTCTGCGGTTGAATATTTTGGTATCACTGCCTGTTTAGGTTCAGTGACACCCAGGCATCCCTTCCCTCTCTTCCCATCTTCTCCTTGGGAGTAAGCAGCTTTGAAGTTATCAGGAGGACAAGGGGTCCATTCTGCTTCCCTCACTAGAAAGGCATCTTCTTGAATTTGCCTTCTCTCCTCTCCCAGGAGACTGGTCTCTGTGCTGACTTCCACCCAAGTGGGGCAGTTGTGGCTGTAGGACTGAACACAGGGAGGTGAGAGGGAGCCAGGACTCCCAGAAGGGAAAGCAGGGAGGTCTGGGAAGGGCTCCTGGTACTGGGGGAGTGGGAAAGAGTGACCACCTCTGCCCAGGAACCACCTACGCCTTGGCACTTCTCCATGCCTCTCCCTGCAGCCCCTGCCACCTGGGCTCCCCTCCTCTCTGATGGTAATCGTTTCTCCCCCTCCCCCAACCACTGTCTCCTCCAAGCCTGGGAGTGGAGGAGGCGGCAGCCCAGGATAGAGAAGCAGTGGGAATGGGAGGGGCATAGGGGAGACAAACACTGGGAAGTGACAGGCTTACAGCCTGCATAGGGCCTTTGTAGTTGGCCCCTGGTCTGGTCTGTCGTTTCTGATTCCTTTTTAGATGGCATTAGAAGCCCCTCAGTCTTTATCTGCACTTAGCTCCTTCTCATGTCTCAGCATAAGAATGCAGTGGTGGCAGAGTGCGATGGCTCATGCATGGCTCCTAGCACTTTGGGAGCAGAGGTGGGCGGATCACTTGAGGTCAGGAGTTCAAGACCAGCCTGGCTAACATGGTGAAACCTCATCTCTACTAAAAATAAAAATAAAAAAAACTAGTTGGGCGTGGTGGTACACACCTGTAATTCCAGCTACTCAGGAGGCTGAT